CTGCTGTCGTTAGATTAATGTTGAGTTTGATGCGCAGGGCTTCAGTAGCTTCACATTCCAGTAAGTAGTGCAATAGTGGCGCCTCTGCTTTTGTTCCACAAGTGTTCCAACACTTTTTAACTATTGGGTTTATTACCTCCCAGCAGCACTTGTAATCAAGTCTGGGTCTGTGTATGGCTACTGTAATGTCTCTGGATATCTTTTTGTCAGGCTTGAAAGAGTAGTACCCAGTGGCTTGTTCGTACCATATCGCAGTGGATCTTCCTTCCGCTACTTTGGCTCTGTGGCGACTTTTGATAGTTGGCAGTATTTTCTTCTTGATTTGCTCCTTAATCTGTGAAAAATCTCAGGCGGCGAGGGAGAATGAGTGCGGACAACACGAAGATAACTGGGAGGAGGATGAATATTTGCATGGGAGAACCAGATGACGGAGGTAAGGGCTGAGAAAAATAATCGGTCGTCACTGTGAATGAAGGCACAGTGGGAAGAGAAGAGGTAGGAGGTAGAGAGGCGGCACCATCCTGACGGACAGAAGAGTGGAAATATTGGTTAGTGAACTGTGAGATACACTAGCTGCCTCACACTGTTGAGCACGGGAAGGGGAGCAGCTGGTGCCGGGGCTTACCGAACCTCTAACTAATGAATAGATTTTAATGAACTTATCAATCCACCAATCAAAGGGTAGATCTTCATTGGTCTATCCCTGATTGGTTCTTTCCCATAGTTCGTGTAACGTCATTCGGGTGTGTTGATCCAGGTATATCAGGCAAGCTTTGGCACAGGGTCAGGTCAAGTTTCAAATCAAGAAATCAAATTTCTAATTTTATGGAAAACAATGAGTTGCACAACCCAGGACAACATGGATTTAGAACGGGAAGATCCTCTCTGTCACAGCTACTCAACCATTATGACAAAATCACAGAAGCTCTAGAAGAAAAGCAAAATGCAGATGTTGTAAACACAGACTTTGCAAAGGCGTTCGACAAACGTGACCATGGGGTGATAGCACACAAAATGAGGTCAATGGGAATAACTGCAAAAGTAGGACGCTGGATACTCAATTTCCTGTCGAACAGAACACAAAGAGTAACAGTCAATCAAATAAAATCGAGTCCAAGAGCAGTTAAAAGCTCTGTTCTTCAAGGTACAGTCCTTGCACCGCTACTGTTCCTTATTTTCATATCTGATATAGACAAAAATACACGTCACAGCTTCGTGTCATCCTTCGTAGATGACACAAAAATCAGCATGAAAATTACCTCTGCTGAAGACATTGAAAAATTACAAGCAGATGTCAACAAAGTTTTCGGTTGGGCAGCAGAAAATAACATGATGAAATTTACAGTGATAAATTTCAGATACTCAGGTTCGGCAAAACTGAGGATCTGAAACATAATGCAGGGTACAAAACACAATCGAATCTTCCCATAGTAGAAAAACAGCATGTCAAGGATTTGGGAATAATGATGTCCGACGATCTAACGTTTAGGGAGCATAACCAAGCAAATATTGCGACAGCCAGAAAAATGATAGGATGGATTACGAGAATTTTCAAATCCAGGGATCCCATCACAATGGTTGTACTCTTCAAGTCACTTGTGTTGTCCCGTCTCGAGTACTACTCAGTACTCACTTTCCCCTTCAGAGCAGGAGAGATTGCTGAAATAGAGGGAATACAGAAAACATATACGGCACGCATAGACGAGATAAAACACCTAAATTACAGAGATCGTCTCAAAGCTCTCCAAATGTACTCTCTAGAAAGGAGACGAGAGAGATACCAAATAATATACACATGGAAAATACTGGAGGGCTCCCAAAACTACACAGTAAAATAACAACGTACTGGAGTGAACGATATGGAAGAAAATGCAGAATAGAACCAGTGAAGAGCAAAGGTGCCATGGGCACAATCAGAGAACACCTGTATAAACATCAGAGGTCCGCGGTTGTTCAACGTCCTCCCAGCAACTAAAAGATATATTGCCGGAACAACCGTGGACATCTTCAAGAGGAAACTGGACAGTTTTCTAAGAGAAGCTCCGGACCAACCGGGCTGTGGTGGGTATGTGGGCCTGCGGGCCGCTCCAAGCAACAGCCTGGTGGACCAAACTCTCACAAGTCAAGTCTGGCTTCGGGCGGGGCTTGGGGAGTAGAAGAACTCCCAGAACCCCATCAACCAGGTATCAACCTGACTTAGCACTCGTGTGCACTCTCGTGCCAGCTCATAATTCTCATACACCTTGGGGTGTGCACTTTAACTGATAAATATCCCGCCTCTCACAATAACACACGCTGTTGAACCAGACACACGCTGTTGAACCAGACACACGCTGTTGAACCAGACACACGCTGTTGAACCAGACACACGCTGTTGAACCAGACACACGCTGTTGAACCAGACACACGCTGTTGAACCAGACACGCTGTTGAACCAGACACACGCTGTTGAACCAGACACACGCTGTTGAACCAGACACACGCTGTTGAACCAGACACACGCTGTTGAACCAGACACACGCTGTTGAACCAGACACACGCTGTTGAACCAGACACACGCTGTTGAACCAGACACACGCTGTTGAACCAGACACACGCTGTTGAACCAGACACACGCTGTTGAACCAGACACACGCTGTTGAACCAGACACACGCTGTTGAACCAGACACACGCTGTTGAACCAGACACACGCTGTTGAACCAGACACACGCTGTTGAACCAGACACACGCTGTTGAACCAGACACACGCTGTTGAACCAGACACACGCTGTTGAACCAGACACACGCTGTTGAACCAGACACACGCTGTTGAACCAGACACACGCTGTTGAACCAGACACACGCTGTTGAACCAGACACACGCTGTTGAACCAGACACACGCTGTTGAACCAGACACACGCTGTTGAACCAGACACACGCTGTTGAACCAGACACACGCTGTTGAACCAGACACACGCTGTTGAACCAGACAGACGCTGTTGAACCAGACAGACGCTGTTGAACCAGACAGACGCTGTTGAACCAGACAGACACTGTTGAACCAGACACACGCTGTTGAACCAGACACACGCTGTTGAACCAGACACACGCTGTTGAACCAGACACACGCTGTTGAACCAGACACACGCTGTTGAACCAGACAGACGCTGTTGAACCAGACAGACGCTGTTGAACCAGACAGACACTGTTGAACCAGACACACGCTGTTGAACCAGACACACGCTGTTGAACCAGACACACGGTGTTGAACCAGACACACGCTGTTGAACCAGACACACGCTGTTGAACCAGACACACGTTGTTGAACCAGACACACGCTGTTGAACCAGACACACGCTGTTGAACCAGACAGATGCTGTTGAACCAGACACACGCTGTTGAACCAGACAGATGCTGTTGAACCAGACACACGCTGTTGAACCAGACACACGCTGTTGAACCAGACACACGCTGTTGAACCAGACACTGATGAACCATACAGATTCTCCCCTTGAATACAAAAGGAGGTAACTGAAATACTAAGCGTCCAAAACTCTATGGTACATATTCAGCTCCCATGACCAGGTCCCCTGCTAGGGGTCCGTCACGTCCCATGACCAGGTCCCCTGCTAGGGACCCGTCACGTCCCATGACCAGGTCCCCTGCTAGGGACCCGTCACGTCCCATGACCAGGTCCCCTGCTAGGGGTCCGTCACGTCCCATGACCAGGTCCCCTGCTAGGGACCCGTCACGTCCCAGGAACACTTTGATCCCCTAAACTCAGCGTTATCAGAAATATGGCGTCCCGACGGAAGCTCACTTGGCATGACTTTTCCATTTAATGTTAAATGTGGTCCCTGAACCCCTATCTCACTCCCTATTTCTTTGTGGTGTCTATTCCCTATTTCCTTGTGATCACTGATCCCTTTCTCACTCCCTATTTCCTTGTGATCTCTGTTCCCTATCTCACTCCCTATTTCTTTGTGGTGTCTATTCCCTATTTCCTTGTGATCACTGATCCCTTTCTCACTCCCTATTTCCTTGTGATCTCTGGTCCCTATCTCACTCCCTATTTCCTTATGATCAATGTTCCCTTTTTCACTCCCTATTTTGATGTTACTTATTTGTCTCCTTGTTAACTAATATTATGTCTGCAATACTGTTTTGGATCTTTAATACTTTATTGTCATTAATAATTATTAAAAGCTCGGCATTCTCTGTTTTGTTTGACCCGTTGCTCCTGGATGCCCAAGATGTTCCTTTCCGTGTCATTATACTTTGTCCAGGTGTGGCGGCCTGGCTACCTTGAGGTGGCTACCTTGAGGTGCTTCCGGGGCTTAGTGTCCCCGCGGCCCGGTCGTCGACCAGGCCGCCTGTGTTTAAATCTTGGTGTAGAATTTTTATTTTTTTATTTTATTCTTACCAGCTTCGTTGAGTAGATCAGGTTTAATCCCGTCTTAAACACTGCATTTTCTAGCATATAATACTCACGCAGGTGGAGCAAGGGGGGGGGGGGGGTTACAGCTGTACAATATAACAAGTGTTCTCTCACACACAGGTGGAACAAGGGGGGGGGGGAAGGGGTTAAAGCTGTACAATATAACAAGTGTTCTCTCACACACAGGTGGAGCAAGGGGGGGGGGGGGGGGTTACAGCTGTACAATATAACAAGTGTTCTCTCACACACAGGTGGAACAAGGGGGGGGGGGAAGGGGTTAAAGCTGTACAATATAACAAGTGTTCTCTCACACACAGGTGGAACAAGGGGGGGGGGGAAGGGGTTACAGCTGTACAATATAACAAGTGTTCTCTCACACACAGGTGGAACAAGGGGGGGGGGGGAAGGGGTTACAGCTGTACAATATAACAAGTGTTCTCTCACACACAGGTGGAACAAGGGGGGGGGGGGAAGGGGTTACAGCTGTACAATATAACAAGTGTTCTCTCACACACAGGTGGAACAAGGGGGGGGGAAGGGGTTACAGCTGTACAATATAACAAGTGTTCTCTCACACACAGGTGGAACAAGGGGTTCGCCTGTACAACCAACAGAAGCACCTGGCAGCCGTGAAGAAGTGGAAGCAAGCTCTGAGACGGATCAATAAGGATAATGACAAGTTCATCACGCTTGGGTACCTCAGCCAGGCGCACCTCGACTGGGGTCGCTACAGGCAAGTAACTCCTCTCCAGCACGTCTATCTTCCACTCTGCATGTCTACCTTCATCTTTGTATGCCTACTTCTCACTCTTATGTCTTCTTTGCACTCTGGCCAAGACGGAGGGCTGACCAGGGGGGTGAGGAACCCAAGACACGAGGAAGAGAAACCATGTGATGAGAAAGGGGCTCCACCACTACAGAGGCCTGGCGAGCTCCAGGAACGTCCGGAAGAGAACGAGCAGCTAAAGCTCTGTTAGAGTCCAACTCTCAGCCTCAGACATACTTGCGCACATTATACAAACTTTCCTTATTAAGACATTATCTCGGTCGATAAGGCTTCGGCCTGACACTCGTGGGATCCCCGGTTCGAGTCTCCCAGAGCCCAGGTGAATGGACTGCATGTAATGTTTACCGTCACATGCAACAGGCTGACCGAGTCGAATCATCCGACTGATAACTTGAGAAAGCTTGTCCTTGATACTTGAACTTGGATTTCCAAAGGGTTTGGAAAGGACGGGGGAAGAAGTTGTCCTTGACACAAGGCACTAAGGAAACAGGATGAACAAAAATTTCAACAGCTCGAGATGCATAATAAGTAAATTACGTCGAACCACTGGCACAGATTACGTCGAACCACTGGCACAGATTACGTCGAACCACTGGCACAGATTACGTCGAACCACTGGCACAGATTACGTCGAACCACTGGCACAGATTACGTCGAACCACTGGCACAGATTACGTCGAACCACTGGCACAGATTACGTCGAACCACTGGCACAGATTACGTCGAACCACTGGCACAGATTACGTCGAACCACTGGCACAGATTACGTCGAACCACTGGCACAGATTACGTCGAACCACTGGCACAGATTACGTCGAACCACTGGCACAGATTACGTCGAACCACTGGCACAGATTACGTCGAACCACTGGCACAGATTACGTCGAACCACTGGCACAGATTACGTCGAACCACTGGCACAGATTACGTCGAACCACTGGCACAGATTACGTCGAACCACTGGCACAGATTACGTCGAACCACTGGCACAGATTACGTCGAACCACTGGCACAGATTACGTCGAACCACTGGCACAGATTACGTCGAACCACTGGCACAGATTACGTCGAACCACTGGCACAGATTACGTCGAACCACTGGCACAGATTACGTCGAACCACTGGCACAGATTACGTCGAACCACTGGCACAGATTACGTCGAACCACTGGCACAGATTACGTCGAACCACTGGCACAGATTACGTCGAACCACTGGCACAGATTACGTCGAACCACTGGCACAGATTACGTCGAACCACTGGCACAGATTACGTCGAACCACTGGCACAGATTACGTCGAACCACTGGCACAGATTACGTCGAACCACTGGCACAGATTACGTCGAACCACTGGCACAGATTACGTCGAACCACTGGCACAGATTACGTCGAACCACTGGCACAGATTACGTCGAACCACTGGCACAGATTACGTCGAACCACTGGCACAGATTACGTCGAACCACTGGCACAGATTACGTCGAACCACTGGCACAGATTACGTCGAACCACTGGCACAGATTACGTCGAACCACTGGCACAGATTACGTCGAACCACTGGCACAGATTACGTCGAACCACTGGCACAGATTACGTCGAACCACTGGCACAGATTACGTCGAACCACTGGCACAGATTACGTCGAACCACTGGCACAGATTACGTCGAACCACTGGCACAGATTACGTCGAACCACTGGCACAGATTACGTCGAACCACTGGCACAGATTACGTCGAACCACTGGCACAGATTACGTCGAACCACTGGCACAGATTACGTCGAACCACTGGCACAGAACAAACCACATGATGCACTTCAAACCTGACAAACCAGGCAGATATCCACCACTAAAGGATCCTGACGGAAAATAGTGGACTCATTCTTGGCCGAAATGGACAAAGAGGACTGAAGGCAATTAGCGATCACAAACTAGAAAACAACAACAATCCCTTCATGTAGCACAGCACAGGAAGTTTGCTAATACAACTACTCAGACTGTTCTGTAAACAAAGGGCCCGAAGTCCATTCCATCCACCCGCCAAACCCCCAGCTGTTTATGAATGAAAAACGGTTTACATACGACTCACAACTGATGACGTCCGAACACTTCCGGAACAAGTGCTTCACTGACGACTTTCGTTCGAACCACAACGCTGTAAATGCTTCACCCACGTACTACAAATACAAATAATCGCCAACAGAACCTAAACACCTAATCTAACCAGTGCCTAAATATGCACAATATGCTAATATATAATAATATTAATTTATATTTGAGAAAAGTCCTGTTTTGACTGAACAGAATGTTAAAATTGATAAATGCGTCTTTGGGGTCAACCGCTGGATAGAATGGAGTTGGTCTGAGGACGGGTTGAACTACCAGAAGCCAGAGTCAAAGACAAGGAAGCCGTGAGAAAGGAATTCACCACCAAGGGGGCACAAGAGGACGAAGTACAAGACAAAGACCACGTGGGTTCCAGAAGAGCCGGGGCTAGATGTAGGTCAAAGAAAGCCCTGAATCATTTGAGGCAATGTGGAGAATAAACATTTACACCGAAAGCAAAAACAGACAGGCTCACAATCGACTTGAGAATGGTCCAGGACGGACCGAAACGTCGTCGTCCCTTCAATTTCTAGTGTGTGGTCTGGTCAACATACTTCAGCCACGTTATTGTGACTCATCGCCTGCAGACAGGCTCCAACAAGGTCAAATGGTAAGAAGTGATAGTAGTGGCCTTAAGATGATGCTCCATAAACAATAAAGACAGGAAGGACATGATCACTTGCATAAAATTGTAAGACAAAGGGCAGAGCAATATGAAAGCTGGCAAGACCACCAAGCCCCCTTATATCAGCACTGAGAAAAAGTACGCTAATGTAACATTAAACTCTCCTCAACCTGGTTCCCATAGACGGGATAGCACAACAGGCTCAAACACTCCAGAAGTAAAGTTTAGTGGACAGTCAAATCTTCCTGATAAGTCCTTCCGCCGATCATCTGGTAAGGGCACGACCCCCGGTAATTACAGACGGTGGGATCAACAAGCTTCAAGGACTGGAAACTGATCAGAGGAGCAACGCAACTCACCAGGAAGCATCTACAACCTGACCATCACAGACAGGAGAAGATAGATCAGAGGGAAAAGTAAAGAAAGGCCCACCAACCCTAGTCCCAGGAGAATGCGTCCACTGGCAATGCCTCACGCTGGGGAAGGGGAGCAAAATAAAAGAACAAGGGATAGTTTCACGCTGAAGAGAAGATATGCATCTGCGGGCTGTGAGAGTATACTCTCGGCCGGGGTCACTACACACACACAGATGTGTGAGTGTTCCCTCTACATCCACACTCAGTGGCTGTGAGAGTATACTCTCGGCCGGGGTCACTACACACACACAGATGTGTGAGTGTTCCCTCTACATCCATATTCAGTGGCTGTGAGAGTATACTCTCGGCCGGGGTCACTACACACACACAGATGTGTGAGTGTTCCCTCTACATCCATATTCAGTGGCTGTGAGAGTATACTCTCGGCCGGGGTCACTACACACACACAGATGTGTGAGTGTTCCCTCTACATCCATATTCAGTGGCTGTGAGAGTATACTCTCGGCCGGGGTCACTACACACACACAGATGTGTGAGTGTTCCCTCTACATCCATATTCAGTGGCTGTGAGAGTATACTCTCGGCCGGGGTCACTACACACACACAGATGTGTGAGTGTTCCCTCTACATCCACACTCAGTGGCTGTGAGAGTATACTCTCGGCCGGGGTCACTACACACACACAGATGTGTGAGTGTTCCCTCTACATCCACACTCAGTGGCTGTGAGAGTATACTCTCGGCCGGGGTCACTACACACACACAGATGTGTGAGTGTTCCCTCTACATCCACACTCAGTGGCTGTGAGAGTATACTCTCGGCCGGGGCCACTACACACACACAGATGTGTGAGTGTTCCCTCTACATCCATACTCAGTGGCTGTGAGAATGTGGATTTTCCCTTTATCTTACACATACACTCTTAGCCCCACCTTGGGCACCAGATGTGTAATGACCAATTTTACCCCACAAGTCTAGCACCGCGCTGAGCGCCAGAATGTGAGAGTATTCACATTCTTTTAAGGGGGATGTGGATTCGAATACAGGTTACCTAGCCTGCACTTGCTGGCGAGGGGGTTAAATAAGAAGAGGCACAGGTGAAAGGGTTATGTCAGGTCACTAGGTGGGCTATCTTGAGATCTTGAGATTATCTTGAGATGATTTCGGGGCTTTAGTGTCCCCGCGGCCCGGTCTTCGACCAGGCCTCCACCCCCAGGAAGCAGCCCGTGACAGCTGACTAACACCCAGGTACCTATTTACTGCTTGGTAACAGGGGCATAGGGTGAAAGAAATTCTGCCCAATGTTTCTCGCCGGCGCCTGGGATCGAACCCAGGACCACAGGATCACAAGTCCCGCGTGCTGTCCGCTCGGCCGACCGGCTCCCTCGCTCGGCCGACCGGCTCCCTGGCAACTCCAGGACCCCCCCCCCCCTACTAACCCCTCTATTAAATTCTTACGTTAACACTTCGTCTCATGGACGATCAACAACCAATTGACTAATTTATTACTTATATTAATAAACAGTGCAAATTACGTTAATTGACTGCCAACAGCAGTCAGCAACAAGTACTTTGCGTTAATACAATCTTGTCTCTCACAGACAAATCAAACTGTCATAACTAACACTCGTTAACTCATAATTACAAAGACACTTGACCCATTAAGCATCCAGTGAGTAATTACCTTAATTACTGTAAACCGGACAGCTAATTAATTCCACAAGCAGTTATGTTATCAGATACTATTGCCCACTCGACATATCACCACAATTTTATGTCCAAAGTGCTATGAGAATGGTAATTACCCTTAATTACCCTGAGCAATTAATTACTATCCCACAG